ATTAATATATGTTGGGTAAGGGCAAACCCGTTATATATAAGTTGATAAATTCTGAGACATCTACACTGTGAAAAGCCAGTTACTCCTATTCACTGTAATCTTGACATCCTGGTTTTAACTTCTAATTTGATATCTTCATTTGTAATTCTTTCTTAATTATATTTCCCTACTCTTGATTAATTGAAAGATCTTGTTTGATTCAGCACATAAAAATATATGTACATGCCCAAGTGGATTCATTCAAACTATTTATAAAGGTTAATGCTAAAAATCCTGAATCCTAGTAACATTTTGACTATTCAGGACTGTAGGGCTTAATGTACTTGAAGGAATACAAGAGAAGTAATGGAGTAAAGGTTTGCAGAATTAACTATGCAAAGATGCATTTTTGACATGGCCGTCCTATCAGTCAAACTCAGTCAAGTGATCCCTATGTGTCTGTGTACTGGGGCAAATCAAGTGGAAGGAATTTTTGACTGTCTGTGACTGCTGCAGCAAAAGAAGGTTAATGAACTATGACCACAATGATCGTGGAGGTCAACCTCATTCAAAATGGGTCAAGAATTACACTGTAACATCAGTTAAGAATATTCAGTATAGATTGAGCTGCTACAGCCTAAAGGCCGGTTCATACTTGACGCAAATGCTAATGCTAATGAGTGAATTTGACATCATGACAGATTTTGCTTGTGTTGAAATGTGTTCAACTTTTACAAATTCTTAGCACAAATATTTGATCGGACATTACCAATTCGCATTCATTTTCGCTTTTGAAGTGAAGTATGTACCAGCCTTAACACTGCCCACTGACTGACACCTTACTATATCAAATTCAATGGCAAGCTCTTAAAATGATTTCGATTTCATTCTACCATGCCCACTTGTATTAATCCTTTCTGGTGATGACATCATGGATCTGTCAGAAGTGCACAGGTACTGTAACCTGACGAAACCTAGAGAGATGGGGGAAAACCTAAATACAGTATGTATTGGGGGAAACCGAGAGAATCAGGCATCTGCCTCAAATTGAAGCACCCCCTCATCAGTAAACAAGACACATGTTGGTGGGAATCATTTCATCTAGGTACTAGCACTCATGCAGAGACCATACTGAACAAACTGGTCGCATGTGTTCAGCATGTTCCACACAAAAAATGCATGGACCTGTGTGACATATGGTGAGTTCCCATCGTAGGACAGTTGTCACTATGCAAAAGCTGATCATCCCGTGGTCTCACACTGAGCGGATGCAGGGAAAACCCAGTGTCAGTGTCAGTCTGGTTCGGATTCGAAACCAGGTCACCAACTTCTCTCCCTGGAGGAGTACTGGTTAGAGTTTGCTGCATATAGTCAGTGGAGGATTTGTCTAAGATTCAGGCAAGTAATGACTACTAGGGTTAGGATATTTTACTGACATTTTTTCATGAAAAGCTACCCCTTAACTGGGACAAGAGAGAGACTCTGCGTTACTGGTTGTTATTGGTGCCACATACTAACAAAGGTAACAGATTTGGGAAATTACTAGTGTTTACTGCGTTCCAGGTGCATCTAAATAAACCAGTGTATGTGGCATGTCAAATCACATGAGATGGGCATGGTTACTCCTAGGAAGATTGCTGCTCAGTAAGAAAAGCTCCCTCTCTTGTTCATGAGTGGAGGCAACCATTTATACCATAACCATTGCCATGTATGGACACAAATCTCATGAGTGCTGTTGTCAAGTCCACTGTAAGTCCATCACAAATCAACCAGTCTTCAGCCAAGTTACGAGTTATTCACATGAACTGTGACAAGAGTATTCCTTTGTCATTGTTTGCCATTTTAATAATGACTGATCTTGTGCAAAAACTTGTGATGGACTCATGATCAATTACAACACCAGGCCTCACTCTTCAGACGGCAAGTCAACTGATATGAGTACAATAACCACTCAGACACGTGTCTTCATCAGCAACTCTAGCTTGTGCTTGTCAATTGTGGATGAGCCTCAGACTTCTTCCCAGAGTAAGAGTGGTTAAGACGTCCGAAGCAATCGATAGATAATGAGCAAATCAACAGGTGGATAATGAATATGCTTATATATACATGCAAAGACTTGATTCATATGGTAAAGGGGTTTGGTATAAGACAACAAGTGAAGTAAACGCAAAAGATGGCTAAGAGATGGAGATCTTTGATATGGGCAATATATCAATCTACCTTATTTACACTGACCAAAAAGTAGGTCTACATGACAATCCGCTAGTAATGTCTAAAAAAAAAACAGCTTCAGGAAGTTCAAAGATCACACTTAAAAATGCATCTTAGCATCCAATTCCTACATTCTGGTATTCTAAGGCAATCCCAAGGTTGAAGAATGCCTCTGGTATTACTGAATATACCTTGGGACCCTGCAGACATTAGCCACAGCCATAACTGTGAAAGTTGTGGTTCTGGTATTACTGAATATACCTGGGGGCCCTGCAGACATTAGCCACAGCCATAACTGTGGAAGTTTGTTTCAGACATTGCCCATCTTCTCACCATAATTGATATGACAGCAGGTGCTTTGTGCATTGTGCATTATCTTGATGAATTCTACTGTGAACACAGACAACTGTCATACAAACTGGTTGATTCTGATCAGTTTCAGCAGCTTCCATTCTTCTCTTGTTCAGCTCGATTTAGCAAGGAGAGCACACATGAGGAGATTTGATGTAAACGGCACAACAGTTCACAAACATTTCTGTTTTTAGAATATAGGTTCAGTTGAGCAGCATGAAGTCAAAATATGAAGAAATTCCGCGTTAGTGTTCAAAGTCTCTTTCAAAGGTTCATAATACAGTTCCTTCAATCAAAACTATTGACGACAATGTTCTATGTCATTCTTTCTAACAGATGTCTAGGGATACCCAGCTCCATAAGTTTCCGTTCAGGCATGATGTGAAGATCAGGAATCAAGGACAGTACTCGTTCCCAGCATGTCATGACGAGGCTAGGTGTCTTCAGCCAGATTCTTGTAAGTGAGTCTGATCTCTCATCTCCTGTTGGGCTTATCACACCTCCGTGGCAGTAAAGGCAACCAGTCTAAAATCAAGCCAAGAAGCCAGGAAATTAATCATGTCAATAACTACTGATCAACCTATCAAGGCATTCATATCGGTTTAGTTAGGGTTGTCTGTTTTCAATAAACTTTATTTGGAAAAAATCCAAAGTCCTTGGGCACTTTGCTAGAAAGTATCCATCAGGCATATTGACTGTGCTTCAACAATGCATGCTTGGAGAACTCTTTTATTCCATTTTACTTTGTAAGTTTTTAAGCTATCATGTAAGAATCCAATTTAATTAAGCAGCTTGTGTAACTTTTATCAACTAATCAGGAGAAATGCTGGTAATTGGTAGAGCAGCAGAAACTAGATCTCTAACACTGTTGTTAGAGGGTTCAAATCAACAAAATTATGCACTGCATTGTGGGAGGACATAATGCAACATGATTTGTTGAGGCCTCTTAAGACCATCTTATAACCTCCAATCTGAATTGAAGTAACAAGTTGTCCAAATAAACTGCAACGAAAGTATTCCTTTGTCATTCTTCATCCTGTTGCTTGTAATGTCTAGTCTTGGATCTGGTTTGAGTCCAATCTTGTATTGGTCTCAACTAAACTGTAGTCGCTAAATGACTGCACGACTACATGACTGCTATCATTCCCAAATCTCACTCTCTAGATCTCAATCTATAGATTCTATTATCTTGAGTGGCAACCTTTGAAACACTCTGTAGTTACCAATGTCAACCACTGAGTTGGATAGAGACATGTGCACGGCTCCTCCCAATCCTCTCATTCTACCAACAGTCAGGCTGTTGGAGACCCAGAGGAGAGTGCATTACTGTCCCCTCCCCACCACCACTCATTGACCTTCCCTGTGAGACAGACTCACCGGTGTTACAGCTGATGAATGGAAGTACACAGGTTGAGGTAGTCTGGCCTCTAACCTGGTCCACTGTAACGTTTTCAGTTCAAGCCGCCAGATGTCATCAAAGATTCTCTTGCCACTATACCCACCAGTTACATAACCCTCTGCAAATAAACAACAAATGCAAAACTCCAGGGTAACCATCTTTAGTTTATTCACCAAAAGAGAGGTCGATATCCTCTGTTCAGAAATGAGTTGGATCATGGCAGTTTTTGGTTAGATCTTCCAAAGAGCCTAACTTCAAACCAGTGAAAGTAACATGATCAGACTTAAATGAGTGTAAAAGTTTTGCCAGACTTTTCTAGTTGTCCACAACCACCACTAAATGTGTGATTTCTTATCCAAGTCTTTTTCAGTTGACATGAGCAACTCAATTTAATAAGGACTGCTCACCATTGTCCAGCTGTGCGCATCCATGGCATCTTCTGTTTTCAGGAAAGCCATGTTGGGGGTCTTCCAAAGTTGTCATCAATTCCCATTCATTTGTTTCCAAATTAAAGGCATGGATCTTTATCAAAAGAAACACAAAATGAATATTGCTACTAGAATATTGCCTACATTGCAGCTATCCTTTATAAGAGATTCTTCAACATTTCAGTATGTGAGAGTTATAACTGATCTGCTATTTCAATTTTTATCCCTAAAAGTTAGTGGCCAGCAGTTTTGTAACAGGAACAGAGTCTTATTTTCAGATAGGAAGAAACCAAGTGTCGTCATAAGATTCCTTTTCACTGACCAGAATCACTCAGTTGTAAGATACTCACCTTGTCTAGCGGATATGCTTCAACTGACGTGCCTCCACCAATGACATACAGCCTCTTACCGTCTGTGAGTATCTCATGTCTGTACCTGGGTTTAGGGATCTGTGGTGTAGGTTCCGAGTTGTTTTTTCGGACCCTACTGGTATAGAATTCTTCCAGACTGAATAATCGCTCCCACTGGCCTGTGGTCAAGTTGCAGCGATGGACATCAGAGTTGTAATCCCAACCTGTTGTGCCACCATAGACATGTAGATGATTGCCAATGACGGCCATAGCCTGTTGATTGATGAATAACAACCAAGCACAGAATTGGTGTTCATCAAATTTACAGAATGGAAACTTGATGTTGAGGAAAAGTGTACTTAAGAGTCCTGTAAGTAAACCAAGTTGCATGTAAGTGATTTTGATGTATTATTGACATTTATTTCAATAGTGCCACAATATTTCAACTAAGGCCATTTTCCAATACTCAACTTCTCTCTGTCTCAGGCTTCGTGTAGGAAATCAAATCCTTGATTGTGGGCCTGAAGTGTTTAACTTAAATTGAAGTACTGTAATGTTTGGCTCTTCTGCATCTTACTTGATATTTTTGGCACTATCAGACTTACTATTGCACTTATAACCTCAAAGTCAGGAAGTAAAAAAAAAACAGTTGAAGCCTGAGAAGGCACCCTAGTCGAGTATTGGAAAATGGCCTAAAACTGCGAGTCAAGAAAGTGGAGAAGTCCAACCTGTCCATAGCCTGGCACTGGTTGCTTTGTTTCACATTCCTTTGCTTTGAGTGACTTCCATCGCTTGTCCTTGAGGTTCAGGTACCAGACATCATTGCTGGTAGTTGGACCAAATGGGAAACCAGTACCACCAAATACCAGTATATAACTGCTGAAGAGTACCATGGACATGGACGCCAGTTGCATGGGAATATGTCCCCGCGTGTTTAACCTCCTCCACATATTGGTGTCAAAGTTATATCGCCAAACCTGGAAAAATCATTAATCGGCAAAAGAACTGTCACTTATAATGATCCATGCCTCAGGAAGGGAAACGTCCAAGTAATTTTAATTTGAATAGAATTTTCTAACACCCAAGGGGTTTGGGCTACTATTTTGGGGGTTCCCTTTACTTGTAGAACAAGAGCATTCTCAGATACTTAAAGGACGATACTGCTTAAAAACTACTAATCAAAACAATTAGGATAACTCAGATGCATATTTGCAGTTGCTCAAAAGTGAGTTCTTACTTTTAGCATAAATATAATGCGGTAGAATTCTGTGAATGGGGGACATTCCAATTTTCCAAAACAATCCTATTCTACTTTTTGATTTTTTTTTCTATGGAAGAGCAAAGCAAATACAGCATGTATCTTCAGCTCCATCACTAGGACATACACAGTCTATTTACTCTCTTGCTTCACAACATGCATTCCAGTCCATCATCTTTTCACTATCTACTAGATCTGGCTCTACTGTAGACATGCTATTAGTAATAATACTTCTCTTTTTTCCCTTGATTACAGAGCTACTTACCTCCTGGAAAAGAGGGAACAACATCTCTTCATCTGGACCAAAGTAGTCCTGTAAGGTTTCTAGATCGGGGTTATAACCACCAAAGATGTACAAGTTGTTGCTGTCAGCAACAGCTGCATGGCCACTGCGGGCACAGGGTTTATGTGGCCTCCTGAAATCTATGGCAGAACAAAAATCAGTTTACATGAAAAGTGAGTGCTAAGAATTTTATCTTCTAAAATACTGACATATTAATGTCATTAGGTGAACTAATAATATGATGTATCCAACCTTTTCTTTGTTGCTTCAGTTCTTGACACCTGTCAGGCCGGCTGTGGCTAAGAGTTACACATGCGCACACACATGTCTATTAAAGCTGTAGCCAACAGCTACTCCTGACCAGGGGCGTAGCCCAGGGAAGGCCTGGGGGGCACATACCCCCCCCAAATTCCCGGTGCCCCCCTCCAGGTGCCCCCCCCACTAAAAATAAACAAACAGATACATGGATATTGAACAAGGCTAAAAAAACTTGCCCCCAAAAAACACATCACTGAAAGCTGGTGCCCCCCATTAGATGCTTGCACCCCCCAGTGCCCCCCACTGGTAAAATCCTAGCTACGCCACTGCTCCTGACATGTGCACTTCATGACTGTGTCATGCAGACGGCAAAGTTTTTTCATCGTTTTAGTAACATCAGCGTAACCCACGAGACTACAAAAGCAAAAGCATATCAGTACTGGTTCATAGTCAAATAGCTGGCTTGTTCCATGAATTCCATTTTTCTGCAGAATTAGGATGTACACATTCATTTCACCCGGCAAGCTCTTTGTTTTCACCTCCCATCAACTCGTTCTTCTTTTGCACAAAAAACTATTAGATATCGTGGTCCAAAGTTATGGAATTCATTAAGTAATTCATTGAGACAAAGTAAAATTTTTCAACTTTTAAGCGAACCTTTAAATCCATTTTATTGAATGGTCATTGCTGATTTACACTTGATACCTCAGTCATAGGGCCTAGTCCTCAAATTGGCATTATGTACTGTCCGTTGTTTGTCCTTGTCTGTATTGTGTAATTTATGTTCTATAGGGTAACGTCTTTAAAAGTCCAGTATTTGTTTTGAACCATAATCACTTTAACTGTTGATGATTATAATAATTATATGCATGTTGCATTTTGGCTCAAAACGCTCATTATATGTATGTACAAGGGACCCATATTCACAAGCTTAGCTTCTTTTGGGCCCCCCTCAGTCTTCACTCTCTTGTCAAACCATTTTTGTAGATATTATGTACATGTATTTATTTGTGAACACTGTGGAAATGAATGAATACACATACAGATTCCTAGTACTGTTAAGTATAGGGCCTATTACATGTAGCCTAGGCTACAGACTAGTTAGCAGGGTCAAGACAGTTAAATTGAATAAAGTTTAAGTTCCCTTTGCTAGTAATAACACTTTAATTATCGTACCGATTTTGGGATTTTTTCTTGGTGTGATTGTAACACATTTTCCTCGCTTGATTCCAGCACGTTCCGGTATCGGATCTTGACTGAATTTTGTCTGGAATACTGCCGTCACATAATTGCCTCGAACTGCCATGTCGACATCTGCAAAGTAATACTGTTGAGAACAGCGCCCTCTACCGGCACAGTCACTCTAAAATTTGTGAGTAAAAGTCGGTCAAAGGATTCAGGCCCATTGAAAACAGTGTAAAATCGGCATTGCTCGGGGCCCAATAATTTGCGTACCAACATCCCTGAGGCATCTGAAACACATGTTAAATTATTGTATGATCCATAATCTTTTACTTTCTTTTCAATTTTCTGTGGGTTAACCGATTACATTTTGAGTTGTTCCCTCAAAACAAAATTATCCCCCAAAAATGATTTTTCCAAAGTCTGCTTCAGTGCAGCCATTTTTCAAGTGACAACCCTCAACTTTTTCTGGCATTTGGGACTATTTTTCAACAGTAGCTTTCAAAAGATACTGTGGGGGGAGCACTTTTAATGCTAATTAGCTGGCCAGAAATTCTCGCTTGAATGGGTGGACTGCACCCTCAATAAAAGCATTAATTGGAAAGAGTTCTCAGTATACGCACAACACTTGATATCACTGTGCACAAACCTATGAGAACTTCCCTGAAAAAATCTGTTTTCTTAGTAAATGCTTCAGAATTTTCTTTGCTGAACTTCACTTTTTAGGACATATTATCTCTTTCTGGTGGCTGTTATAATATTTCAAGAGAAAATTAGTGTTGTTCGTATATGGAAGTCTTTTTAAATTGCTCCAGATGTAATTAGCACTCTGAATTAAAAAGAAAACAGAAATGACAAAAACTTCCAGTTTAACTCAAGTAAGCCACTGGATAAAGAATATCACTGAATCAAGTGACAAATTAAAACTGGTAGGCTTAATTACATTCTTTAGGCCCATACCTGAAAAATATGAATTAAATTATTCTTTTTTTTTCCAGAGGTAATTTGATTTTTTTACCATTTATTGAGATGTTTTCTTACTTGGAAGGGTAAGCTGACGTCATTATGCTTTGCTGGAAAACTGTGCCTTTTCTTTCTTTGAAGATGAAAGTGAAGCATTACATCATACTCACAACAATGACTTTGCATTACAATCAGACTGATTCCAATACAAAGCCAGCAGCTTATTTTATTTTCGCTTGGTCAAACCAAAATAATTTGGTGCAAAAGTGTAACTGTACTTAACTTTGAAAGCAAAAGATAAAAACATGCTCCAAAAACATCCGAATGAATATTTTGGCAAAACAAAACTTTTGGCGGGAATTAACTCTCAAATTTTCAAACTTGGAGATCCATTGTAACTGGAATTGAAATGCCATCTTTACTACAGATGTCAGGTTATTTACAGCAGCCAATTTTTTCAAAGGTAGAAAATGGAAAAATCAGCTTTACTGGAATTATTGATTAACAAATCTGTGCATTAGCAAACTCCTTAAAGTTAAAAACAAAATATTATCTCAGTTATATTACAAATTGTTTGTGTCAAGATTTAGTTAGAATAAAAATAAAATGTGAAATACAAAGGCAATTTAGAACTTTCAGTCATGATTGTAGAACCTGCTGATAATAATTACCGCTAATGGGTCATTAGGGAGACATTGCCATAAGAACGTGCACAAAATTTTTTCCAACTTTACTGTCCCATAATTCAATATTCCCTAATCTGATCAGAACCAATCTTAATTTGTATGTTTTCATTTTAGACCCTAATTTATAATCTCTCAAAATTTAGTAAAATTCGGCCTCTTTCTGGTAGTTTGAAAATAGGGAGACACTTAAATGTTTCATTAAAAGCCAATGTCTCCGTAACGCTGAACAATTTACCGCAAAATGTCTCCCAAATGACCTATTTGTAAATATTACGACATTTACAAAAGTAATAATGTGACAAGTAGTTAAATACTGATTTGTTCTACAACCTACACTAACCATTATCAAAATTATTAAAGGAAATGATTTGGACAAATGGCAAGAGAGAAAAGCTTGCACGAAGGACAATTCAGAAATAAAACGCAAAATGTTCACACAAACACAAAATTTCATTTCTACTTTACAAAGAATAGTAAGCCAAGTTCCCAAAGTGTAATTTTTTGGGCGTATGTTGGCAATTGGGGGTAAATTTCCATGTGTTGAATGCTTAGTCCTAAGACACAAGCCAGAATTGCCACAGTGCTATATTTAGGGCTGAGTTAATTCGAATAATTCACTAGTTGAATATTTGACCTCCAATTCGATCAATATCTGAATATTTGGTTGTACCGACCGGCATATTGTTGAGGAACAAACCATATACAAAATCAATTGTAATAATGTACACAATCGTACATTATGATAACTACAATAGCTTCTCACATCAAAGAGTATCTCCAGCCATGGTTTAGTAAGATTAAGAGATGAACAGTACTCCTTGCCCTGGCGAAAATTTCTATTCCTTTTATATTGAGTAACGAATAATTTACATTTTGAATAATTTTTCATTTGAATCTGCTTGAAACAAGCCTCCATAGTGTAATTTTTCTCATTTAAAACAAAGGAAATTCCCGTTCCTTTTCATGAATTTTGCATTCGAATATTCAAATTTGGAAAATAATATTGAAAAATTCGATTCTCGATCGAATATTCGATCGAATGATCGTATATATCAGCCAGGAAACAATTGGATGAGGCATTACTGTAGTAACAAAACCCCCCAAAGCTACTCGCAATCTACTGAATAATGTATGTTTGAAAGCAAATGAGTATACAAAATGCATCATTTGAAAGCAAAACATCTAGTTCTACTATGATTGGTCATAAATGACAACAGGTGAAGTGCATAATTCAAGACAGAGTGACAGTCAAGGTGAAACACTGAGCACTCTAGCATGCACGCAAGCTCCCAGCCGAGTCATTCAACATGTCTCAATTTGTCCATCACATTTGCAGGAATGCCCAGGTCTTGATGAAGTCTTGTGATAGTTTCAGGGTTTCTGTTCGGTAGGAGAGACAGAACCTTTTTCAGGGCAAGGTCCAGAAGAGGCGGAATAGCCAGCCAGATTCTGAAGACAGCATTGGTCCGAGGACGATCCTCTAGATCATTAATCCCTCCAAATGTGTATAGGCATTTGGTCTGTGGAGAGAACACAGGAGAGAAAAACAACATAGAACAACTTGAAAAAAATGAAATGACAGGTATTCATGGTTATCGAGAAGAGAAACATTTTAAAAAGAGATGATTGTTCTTATGAGTAGAAAGATCTTTGTGTTCCAACTGGAAACTAAACCTGGCAAAACAAGGCTCATTTTGATCTGTTTAATCAAATGACAGTCTTGTCATGGGCAACTTGATGAAAAAGCCCTAAATCTTACAGGTGTTATAGCAGCTGAGTGGAAATATGTTGTGATTGGCATGTCTGTGGGCAAACGAGTCCACTGTAAGCTAGGTAACTCTAGCTTCCACACATCTCTTAACACAACTCTGTTGTTGTGGCCACCACATATGTAGATCTCTGCAATTAACAAGTTAAGCAAACAGCTTGGTTATCAACTTTTCTGTAAAGCAATTAAATTGAAAGGTAAGTGACAGGTTGGAAATGGAATGCAGTATCAGATTTGATATAGCATATGCTACATGAACATTCCTTTGGAAAACACACAGCAGCCCATGGGCATCTATTACCTTAAGTTTTCCCACAATATAAATGGTCTGTAAAGTCATAAATCATTTTGGTATGTTTTTACATGAACTGTGTTTAATGGCGCAATTGTTTTATCTCCTTTCAACACAACATAATCAAAATATAAAATCATTAAACAGAAATCCTAGCAATATCTTTCAACTTTGCAATGTAGATCAATGGATACCGTGAAATGACAAAATGGACTAAGAAATTGCATTCTGTTGAGTGACCATGAATCATAGGCATGTGGCCAGGTGGTTAGGGTTTGTAGCTTCTGTTCATAGGGTCGGGGGTTTGAATCCAGCTGTTGGCAGCGTATTGTGATATTGGGTAATTCACTTTATCGCTATGTGCCTCTCTCCATCCAGGAGTAAATGGGTACCTGTGAGGGCGGACACCATTATGTTTAGCCGTTTACACCTTGTTTGCAATGGCAGCATTGGGCTAGTATACTCCCCAGAGAACTGATGAGATGGTTTCAGGAATGCTCAGAAAATGTGAGACCAATGTGCAGGGATGATAATATATCGGCGCATTTTGAATTGCAGACGCTGTTAGATACTGTGCGCCTTATAAATGGTTTGATGCTATTATTACTAAAGGTGTCCTGTAGCACCATGTGAAGTCTCTAAATTTGCACGTAAATTTGTGAAAAGAATTACCGGTAGACTTAATTTTAGACATTGTACATAATCAGGAAAGAGACAAGTTGTCTAGCTAACATCACCCACCATTGTTCCACTGCACCCAGCCATGATATTTTCTCTGCCTCGGAAATCCGTGATTGGGACAACGCAGCGTTTCTTCACTCCTCCACTCTCTCGTGCGCAAATCATACACATGGATCTATCAGAAGGGAAGAAAGGTGCCCATCAGCTGACAAACACTGCAGTGTACCTTATCAATGTCCTAACTCTGGGAATTCCCCGTTTAAAATCTGTCTGTGCAAGAAACAAGGATTCCCTGTAGTTTGCACACCATTGAGGCTATCAACAGGAGTATGACTGTTCCAAACTCTCTGCCGGACTCAAACTTTTGAAGTTCTGGTAGCATAACCATCCATTGCAGACTACTGTGCATAAGGATATTTAGTTGAACTTTGGTTAACCATTGGTTCTTGAGTCTTGACTGAACTTGCTTTAAGTTAGATATTCAAAGGGTAAGTAAACAATGCATGAAGCTCAACCTTTACTATTTCCCACCATCAATTCCATTACCTTTTCTTGATGAGTTAATGAGTACAAATCCCTGTAACTACTTCCCACGATGTACAGTTTCTCCTCATACAGAGCCAAGCCATGCTTGTACATGACACGTGATGCATTTTCTGGTTCATTAGACAGCATCGACCATTCCTTGCTCTCCAGGTCTAGGTGATGAAGCTCTGAATTGAACAAGAAATTTTCTGTGTCTGGGAGCCAACGACAGCCTCCATAGCAGTACAGATGGCCCTGTCTAACAATAATTGCCTGCACAGGGAAGCCCAAAACAGCAAATTATAGTTAAAGAACAATTACTAAATTTTCAGAGACAGGTACAAAATATCAGAAAGCCAATGATAGCTAATTACTAAGCAGAATAAGGACTTACCTGTCCATACTTTGGAGCAGGGCAATCACCTATGCACCTCAATGATGTCCATCTCTTCTGAAGCAGTTCAAAGACAATCAGGTCTCCATTGGTGTTTTGTCCCCAAGGATGGCCAGATCCTCCATGCAACAACAGTCTTTCAGGGCGATGGATGTATATCACTGGACACAGAGAAAAAAATGACCCAACCTAATGCATTAATGTAAACTGGTAAGAAAAGAGATTCCTCCATGGTACACGAGAGGGAGCTTGGGGGGGGGGCTCAGACAAAAGGCCCAGTTGGCACATTATTGACTCATTCTCTGATGCATTGATCCTGTCAGACTGTGATTTAGACTGAACTCAGTGAGTGTATACATGACTTGAAGAAATTAAGTATCCGCCTGTCTCTTTCCAGCTAAGCCATGATGTCCACTCAGCCCAAACAGAATTTCAAAATCATACCTCAGCCTGTGTTTCCATTGCACCAAATGCAATCCTTTGGAAGGAAATATAAATAATATGGACATGTTGAAAATTTATATAGAAAAAGGAGTATGTAGTTTTTGTAAAAGTACAAACTGTCCCAAACTGTTTTTGTTTTTCATTAGGACACTGGATATGAATGATCTGATCATCTGATGCCATGCTGGACTCACTTGACATGCCTGTAGTGGCAGTTGGTTCATCCCCTTCTGTCTCCACTTCATGCCAGGTCTCCGTGGCAAAGTTAAAGCACCACATCTGCAAAATCCATCATCAAAAGATTGTATGTAACACACTACATACATGAATGTGCTGCTTGGCAGTGCTATGACTGAAATTAGAATCCATTCCTGTGATTACAGCAAGCTTGCAGACAGGTGGTACATAGATGTTCTATGATGTTATGACTTGCTATAACACACACATACGTCCACTTTATGAAAGAGCGCAAGCAATTTTTAACCCGTGGATGTAGATACTTTTGATCAACAAAATTAAACACTGCCTCTGAAAAGAGTCGATCTGTACTAAATGATGAGAATTCCCCTATAAAGTAAAATATAACCATACTTCAGTGAAAACTTGATTTTCTATGATGACTTCTCCATGACCTGGTTCAGCTCTGTGATATTCAGGATGGTATCCACCATACACGATGAGATTGTAACCATCTGTTGCACAGCAATGACCACTTCTTGGATGAGGCTCCGTGCCTAGCTTAGAAAAAGCAACCAAAAAAAAAAAAATTCGTTAAAGGATCCAGGAAATGAATTTTTCTTAGAATCACTTTTCAACTCTTGTGTATCTCTGTACTCTTCTTCCTTGTATGAAGACTGTTGGACATCTTTTTTGAGTTACATGTAATAAACGGTGCACTTTTTCAGACATTAAAAATTGACCAAGCATTTCTGGACAAGTGAGGGCGCTTTTGCTTTGATGTAAATCCAGGAAGACATGGTTCAGGTTGCGTTACGGTGAACCCCAAATTTGCTATCTGGGAACATTTCTGTGAAAAGGATTTTTGCTGGATTATCGCCATACAGCAATAAAATGCCAAAGAAAATGAAATCCGCTATAGCAGTGGTTATAAAACTCTAGAAATTTTTCTGTGCACAAATCAGTGCAACATTGAGATTCAGTGCCTTGGATGACATCATAGTTCTGCTCATGAATATGCAAATTGATAAGCATAAAACCAAAAAGCATCAAAATATGGGTTAAAATTGCAAAACAACAATTTTTCATCAGGTTAATTGAAATCCAAAGGTGCAATTTCAAAGATTTTAAATAAAAATGTTTCTATTTCCTGGTTTTAAAAGTCTAATGTCTGTACTGAGCACCAAAGGACCCCAAAACTGAGAAATGGGATTTTGGCAAGTTTATGAGAAAACTGATTTCGAAGTACCTGCCCAGATCCTGACATAGACTGGATGAGAAAACAAATTGCTTCTAGATTGTTAACAGGTCACTACAAGGAAAAATTAGTGGCGTCCGGTATCTATAAAGGGCATTCTTTCCTCGCTTACCTTGCGGCCAGACACGAACGAACTTTCCTACATCCACCTTGTCCATTTTTACTTAATACACGCACAGTGCACGTCAAGACGCGCCCTCAATTACGTTTCTCGTCAGCTTAACTTGAAATCAGCCGAGGCAAGCAAGGCAAATCCTACTTCCTAAATTTATCCGATCACCATAAATATTTGGGTTGTAGCAACATGAACGAAAAGACATTGTCGATGTCAGGAAGATAATCACAAGAATTTATCTTGAAACTGCACTAGCTTCCACCATGGAGGTAGGACCGTGAAAGCTGAAATATCCGATGGTCAGTCATAACTTTGGGAATTCCCCAAATAGTATATATATTATATTACGGAATTCCCATTGTTGACATTGAGGATGTAGTCCACTAATAAAGTTCAAGCCCCATTGGAAACAACCTCAGCATTGTTCGGGGTCCAATAACATGCGTACCAACATCCCTGAGGTATCTGAAACACACGTTAAATTATTGTACTATGATCCCAATCTTTCACTTTCCTTTCAACTTTCTGTGGGTTAACCGATTACATTTTAAGTTATTCCCACAAAACAAAATTACCCCACCCCCAAAAGTGATTTTTCCGAAGTCTGCTTGCAGCCATTTTTCTAGGTACTTGGGACCATTTTTCAACCGTATTTTTAGCCATTCTAGCTGCTCTCAGATGAAAGCCTAAAGACCCAGGGAACTGATTCTGGCAACGATTTACACAATCTCACCATTTTTTTTGGGGGGGGCATACAATCTCCTTTTTCAAAAGACACTGTGGGGGAGCACTTTTAATGCTGATGGGCTGGCCAAAAATTCTCACTTGAATTAGTGGACTGCACCCATAAAGGCTGCCACAACTACCGTTCAAGTTCGTACAAGCTCTCTTTGGGGTGCACCACCCAATTCATGGGAAATTCTCAGCCAGGACGCGGAGGCGCTCGAAAAGTCCCCCCCCCACACACAAATTCCTTCGAAAATAGGTGTCTGTGTGGGCCAAGAAATTGTGGGATTGTGTAAGTATGGCCCAGAGTTATCTCTGTAGATTTGGGGGCTCCAATCTGTGGGCAAAGCAGACAGAAATGTGATTGAAAATTTGTCAGAAGAGCCTCCGAACGGTGATGGATGTCATTTGAAAAATGGCTTCATCTGAGACGACTTTGGAACGTTCACTTTTTGAAGGTGAGTTTGTTTTGGCAGATAATTAAATAATTTATTGGTTAACCTACTAAAAATTGAAAATCATATGAAATCTGAAGCACCAAAGAACACATTGTTTTTTTGTTTGCGAGGTCTCAGGGACTTCAGATGCCCGCAATGGGGCTCCAAACCTTGTTGATTTTACACTCTTTCCAATGGAGGCTGAATTAGTTCAGTGCACCCTTTGGGCAATGAACGTCCTCTCCGTTCACGAATGTGACTCCAGCGGATTGGAGGTACGTTGCCATTTTTTAAAATGCGCACTTATGAAAGCAGTACCACCACCTTTGAGTGGGAGGTGAGAAATTAAAATGAAATATTTGAAAAAACAAACAAACAACCCAACACCCCCAACTAACAAACAAACAAACAACCCAACAAACAAACAAAAACTTTGTCACTTTCGGAGAGAAAAATCATTGTACCCACGTACCGAAACCTAGATACGCCTCCTAACTGTAATCCTCCCAAGGGCCGATCCAGAACCAAATTTTCGGGGCGGATGCAAAAATTGGGGGGAGGGGGAGGAGAAGCAAATGGGAATTTTGTTTATAAAATGTGATTGCTTTCCTGTGGGTGGGGCTTCATTTGGGGGCTTTTTACAGGCCTGTTGAAAGAGAAGCGATGAGATAACACGTGCACTCTCTGAAAAAAAATTCCATTAATTTTTATAAAAAGGCTCATTGACCTGCCCTTAAATCTGCCAGTTACAATGTGATGGTTTTGAGGGACAATTTGTTACAATGTGATGGTTTTGAGGGACAATTTGTTACAATGTGATGGTTTTGAGGGACAATTTGTAATCATTGCATATTTCAAAAAAACGCATGAGGATCTTTTGCTTTAGTCACAGCAAACTGTATGACGGGACGTTTCAGGAATTGGCCAGTGGAATTGCTTGAAAATTGAAAAAATGGCAATCTTTTTTCATACTACTGGAGAAGTATGTCGTAAATCATCTCAAGATGGAAGTGTTTTCCAGTTGTAACTGCATGAGGTAAACTTGATTCAAACTGTACGATGATAAACCATCTCTCAAAAGTTATCTCAAAGTAGCCTTTATTTTAAATCTTACAGGGTTCTGCAATGCAATTTTTAAATGCAAATCTTCAAAATACACTATAGAAGTTATGCATTAACAAATCCAGGGGCAAGGATTTTGTATCATTGGGAGACTTGAGTACACCTTTTGTACATTCGTGGTAACTATCTGAGACACCATAGAGACACCAGCAAGCATAACCTCTGTGTATCTCGGTCACCTTCATTTTAAATTTTCAATTTCGCTACTTTCAAGTGTACCTGCAATGAATTTTTCTTCGAAACAATTTTTCTGCATCTTTGCACTTTTCTTCAGTGTATGAAAACTTTTACACACTCCTATTTGGTTAAATGCTTTGAAAAGTGCACACCTTTAAACAATCGTAATTATCCATGTTTTCCCAGACAACTGAGGGTGCTGTTGCTATGAAGTCATCTAGGGAAGACATGGTTCAGTGCATAGGTATTTCTGTTCAAATTGTGAACCCAGAATTTACCTACTGAAAACATTTCTGAGAGAGGGATTGATGGTTTCTTACTGTTACGCATATAAACAGCAGTGAATCAGCCAAGGAGAAAACTTAGTCTAGGAAAATCTACAAAAAATGCAGGACTTTTTTGTGTATAAACCCATGTAACATTGAGGCTTCTTCCTGAGATGACATCACAGTTTTGCTCATGAATATAGAAATACTCATAAGCATAACAAACAAAAAGGCATTAAAATACCCTTTGAATGCCTGCTGCATTAAGTGACAAGATGGCAACTGGATATGAGAGTTTAATCAATTACGAGGCTGCATCCGAATCTGTTGTCTAGAGCTAGATCTAGGTCTTCACTCCATTGAAAATGCGTGGAGACGCGCAGACAATAGACCTAGCCGTAGCTCTCGAATCCCGTTTCGGACATGGCCTGATTGTTCAAGAGTATGTGTGCATGCGGCTCACCATGCACGTGCCAATTGGACAATTCACACAAGGAATATTCCATAAAATGGATGGGGGTGATTGGGAGAATGAAAGTACAACTGTTGAAGAAAATCGCTGGAAATCCATCATAATTATATTGACTTCTTTTGACTCTGACTAAAAATATATTTATGAATGGGAATAAATATGTGCTTGGCTGGTCTTACATTATTGTTTAAGATCAGCTCAGGAGACTGAACACTGACAATGCCTGAGCCGCACGTCCATTCTCCTGAGCCATTTAAGACCAGCCAAGCACATATTTATTACCTTAAATACTTTTGCATCGTTTCTCAAAATCCATCAGCTGCATACTTTTCACTGCCACGATGTCTTGATTCTAGTTGAAAATGCTCATGTAGGTTGGTGACTTTATTGAAGAAGTATAACGTCAATCTATAGTTTAAACTTTAAGTACTTTACAGCAACGATCTTATGAAAATGAAAAATATGGCTCTGAATCTCGGTTAGTGATAAAGAATAAGGGATTTGCCTGCAAACCTAACTCAAGTTTGCATTTTATGCCCAAGTTTAAAGAAGGAGAAAGTGTGAGGCAGAAAGCAAGGAGGATCCTGGTTAATCACTTCATGCCCTCAGCCTTATACCTGCCTTAAAATACTGAAGATGAAATGTGAAGGTTGTAAAGATAACGGTACTTGTACGAGTCATTCCAAATGTTTCAGTCTATCCATGATAGTTTGTGGTACACCCAAGTCCCATAATCTATTGATGCTATCCTGACTTCGATTAGGCAAGAGGGACAAAACTTTCCTCAAGGCGATGTCTGTGAGAGGTGGGATGTCCAACCATATTCTGAAGATGTTGTTGGTCCGATCACGATCTCGCAGACAAGTCACGCCCCCGAAAATATACAAACACTTGGTCTACAGAGAGAGAGGGAGTACATGAAGCTTTCATAAAAGATAAGCAAGATTACCTGACATTTATGCACTACATGCATTTCTTTAACATAACAACTTGGAAGTTTTCTACACAAAACTTCAATAACAATACTTTATTTACAAGGATTCTAGATGTGTGTTTGTCTGTGTGTTTTAATACCCTTTAATAACAAATTAAAAAAGAAGAGAATTTTTACTTAAGGATTATAATATCAAATCTTGATTGTTTGCCTTTTCAGCTCCAAATTACTCACTGATGTTATTGCAGCTGAATGAAAGAATGTGGGGACAGGCATCTCAGTTGATAAGCGAGTCCACTGTAAGCTTGGAAGATCAAGCTTCCAGATGTCTCCAAAGATAGTTACGTTGTTGTGACCTCCACACATGTAAACCTCTTCAAAGAAACAAGTGACAAGAACATAAACAATGAATAAGTGTAAAAACTCATACTTTTGAAATTGTCTGCACTATAAATGATATTATTAGACACTCATGTGCAGAAAAAGGTTTTTGAGACAGTAAATTAGTTGTAATGCAACTCTTGCAAAGCTAAATACATGTAAAAATTAGTGGTTCTTTATGTCTACTTTGAGGGTGTTTACAAGATACTGACCATTTTTCCATTGCATACAGCTATGATATTGCCTTCGCTGTGGGTGACCATTATGCAGGCACGGCAACGTTGGCTCCTTTTCCCACGTGTTGGTTTCCAAATTGTACACATGAATCTAAAAAGTTTGTAAAAGTTCTCATTAATTATTCAGCTCCTGACTAAGAGGTGTTTCAAAGTCTTGATGGTCAAGTGGGTAATGGTCAAGATGACCACAATGCCATTCCTCCAAGGTCACAGTACTAATCAGGGACTTCCGGTTTTTCACTAAAGTGGCAAAAATCCTAATATTGGGAACCTCAATGGAGAAAAAATTGACGACTGACAACTGCCCTGTCATAATATGACATTAATAACAAAAGACAGAAGGTGCTCCATTACCTAGCAGCAATGTCCTATGGGCTCAACAAGTAACAATAAACTAAATTCATGAGTCGGCCATTTTGAATTGAAAGTGAGGTTAACTCTTCATTTGGGGAACTTGAGAGTAGAAATGAAAGCAATAAAATGAAACTGGATGAAGAATTAGTACCTGTCTACTCTGAAGATCAATTCAAGTTTGTCATATTTGTAGTTAAAAATACTACCGTGTTTAAGCTGCATTTTGACAGATTTTGAGAAGGAGGCGTGGAAGGCAAGCATAACTCATAACAAATCATAACTAGTCTGGTAACATCTCGTTCAACCGTTTCAAATTTATAAAAGAGATTAAGAAAACACAATTGGAAATAGTTTTGTCATAAACAATAAAGTTTATGGGACTTGAACATCAACCAAACTGCCATGTCACCCTTGAAAGCATGTGCATGGACATGTATAACCACACAGCATACTGCATATGCATTTTCAAAATGCTTATAAGCATTTTGTGTATATCACAGGTTAGGTTGTGGCATATATTTAGGAAAGAATGGAATATTTATGTTCATACCTGGTCATGGTACTCAGATGAGTACAGCTCTCTCCAACTGTTGCCAATCAGGTACATTTTGTTCTCGTGCCACGCAAGGCTGTGCCTGTACATGACCCTAAAAGGGGCATCACTGTCACTCTGAGCATCCATGTCCGACACCAGTGACCAGGTCAGGTTTTTAAGGTTAAGACAATGGAGGTCAGCATCAAACAAGAAATCCTCTTCTGAGAGTCGACGGCAGCCTCCAAAGAGATAAAGGCGGTCGTACACAAGTGACATGGCCTGTTAGAGCAAAATACCACACTTTTCTCTGAAGAAAGATGCTTGTCATGTCTTATGTCATTTTTGTTGAGGTTTATTATCATACAAAAATAATTTGAAATTACCTCTTAATAAGCCAGTTCACGATTTCAACTGAACTAGTAAAAATAGAGCTTTGAACAGCTTCCTTTTGGGATAAACAATTTGCCACAATAAAATACAAGTTGTTGCTTCCAAGTAAGTACAAAGATCTAGGGGGCACTTTATTCAAAGGCATTTGTAGATGTTGGATCCAACTTTTTCTCAAATGATGGTTATTGTCTTCTGACACACAATTGCAATATCTACTTCAAAATCCACCAAAGAAAAACTGTTACAAAGAGTTTCTAACTATATCAGTGGAAAGCTTGCACTATATCCAATACCTTGTCAATGAAGTCAAAGAGCTGGTCTACTTCAACTAACCTGTCCATATTTTCCTGGAGGATGCTGACCTTTACATGCTAATGTTGACCATGTTTTATCCTTCAACTTGAAAGACACCATGTCTGCATTACTAGTGTGACCCCAGGGGTAACATGTCCCTCCAAACAGTAGCAATGTGTGACCACTAAGCAACACTAGAAAAGGGAACAAAGTGTGCTGTGAAGAATGGATGACTAACTGCAGGAAATGAAGATGAAGATAAAGACAAATGTCTTCTTGAAGGCAAATTCTTAGTTCAGCTCTGTGCTACAGTATGAATTGCTCCCCTTAAGTCCAGTCAGAAAAGTTCCACTTGACCAGTGCATCAAACCTGCTTACAATGGAATATTCCAAAAACCTTTCCAACACCTTTTTCATCGTCCACTCTTTGGATAACTTACCATTTATTTTACTGGCCTGGATGTTCTGATATTCCCTGACCCTGTCATGTACATGTATGTACCTATGCACTTTTCAAATCTGGACACAAAGATATCATTAAAAAATTATGATGTCATTGACCAGTCCTGCCGAAGCAGATGAGCAGTTACAATCCCTAACTTACTTGACATTGATGCTGTCTCGTGTGGTACAGCGCCAACTGTGTTCACTTCACACCAGGTTTCTCGAGCAAGATTGAAACACCACATCTACCAAGGGTAGAGCAAACAAGGATTTAATAACATGAAACAGTCCAGCAGTCCAACCCACCCCAACTCAAGTAGAATGTCATTAATGACACAGATTATGTAATCCTTTATACGCTTGGTGTTACATGTGTCTGTCAACTCCATGCTGCAACGAAGAGGGGACTGTGTAAGCATCTCGATAAGAAAGAATGCAGCTGAGCTTGGGCATTTGAGATTAAAACAAAACCATGCAACTTAAAATATTAAAAAAAAACCACCTAACTCTGAGGAGTTAGTTATTCACAGGATCCTTATTGATTGTCTGGGGTGTAATTAGTCAATTCCAATTCCATCAAATACCCAAAGCAAATAAAGGTGATTATTAAGGACAAATGTCAATATTGTCTGTAGCAGCATATTACAAAACAAATCGTGGCAGGTCGACACAAAGCTAAAGATATAAAGCATAACATTTCTGCCAGTTAAAATTTTTAATAAGAACAAAAGATGTTACTCGGCACTGTCAATGAATGTAATTTCCTGCTGCATGAGATTGTCCCGTGTGTAAGGAGAGCTGAACATACGTCTTTGAATACTTCATTCTTTTTGGTCACTTCACGGTACTCTGGCTCTGTTTCTGTCATGCAATATGCAGGATGGTATCCTCCAAACACATACAGATTGATGCCATCTGTCGCACAGCAATGCCCACTTCTGGGATATGGCTCTACAACTATGATTTCAAAAGAAAAACATTACAAATCTAGGCATTCACTCTTTATGCAAGTCCATGTTGAGCTTAATCCACACTGGACCTGAGATTCCTAGTGGTGCAGTCCTTATAGGTTTTTTGGTTTCCTAAGAAATCATAATAACATTACTTATTGTTTTAAATTAAATCATACATTTATTTGCCGGATATTTCATTTTCTTTTTCTGATTTATTGCTCTAAGTGTTTTTTATTTTTGGCAGTGGACTGTGATAAAGTTGCAACAGTTTTGGGATATAACTGACATATGCAGACATATGTTTTTAGGACAAGAAATGTTTATAGTGACAATGGTTTTACACGTATGCTTGCATTATTACTGGTGTTATTAGTATTTATAATATATGCTGGGCTCCAAATTAAGAGGGTATTCCCTAATATGGTGCACTTAACTAAATTTTGGGGCATGAACATTTGAGAATTTCTTTCAATGTGAGAAATTCTGATAAATTATTATTTACTCCTAGCCCTAGAGCTATGACATGGAGTACTAAAATTAATTTTTAGGACAATTTTTCACTTTCTAATGGCTTTTGTAATATTTTCGGGGAAAATTAGTGTTGTCCGTATATCCTATAGAGCTCTTTCCGTTACGCCAACTACTAACTAGTCGGTCTCATGGTCTCAAAACCACTATCATGAATTTATCATTAGCGAGCCTACAACTTACAAATTACCTCAAGATTGCTCACAAAGGAAATTTTGATTGAGAAAAGTGTAATTTACAGCAGTCTGGTTCAGATATTTGATTCCAAAACAGATGACACTGCACTGTTAGGCTACGACCCCGTCAAAACTAGGCTACCCCCAGAAATGTGGGGTCTGATGTCCATTCTGCTCCCACAAAAGGAGTGGACGTTGGACCCCACAGTTTACAATGGTTCCGGGAGTACATGATGTAAACTACATGTAGGCCTACAAAGCAATGAAAGCATGACAAGAGGAAAAAGACACACTGAGGTGCCTTTTCCAGAAAAAGGTTTAGGCTGTAATAATGTTTTACCTCAGAACTGTGGGGTTTGTCATGGGATGGGAGCGCGGCGGCCGACGAACCCACACTTCTGGGGCAGCTGGTGGACAGGTAAGGGGTGGGGGGATAGGGCCTAGTTGTCATGGTCGTAGTCCAACCATTCTGCATTCACAACATGTCCAACTTTCTTTGTAAAGTTTAAGTGTGATGTGACACATTTTCTATAGCGTTCAGTATATTCTTTTGCCAATATACTTACTATCCTTTACTTTAAAATACCTTTTGTTTCATTGGCAGAGTCAAATCTTGTATTAATGTGAACAAACTTTCCCACTTCAATCTCGTCCGTGGGCGCTGCCATCTTGATTTTCTCAGCGCTTTTTGTTGCTTTTTTTTTGCAATGGTGATAAGGATTTTTCTATGCGCGTCAGCCATTGGTCATAGTGTCACAGTTTGCCAACTTTAACCAATCAGAGCATAGTTTAAAAAGACGTTTAGATTCATGATAATTTTCAAAATGGCGGAAAAACGCAAATTGCCAAGTGCCAGCAGCGGAGCAAAACGAATAAAAGCTCTATTTTCGTCCTTTATTCGAAAGGAAACAAACAATGAAACAAAAGCTGAAAGGTAAACCAACAGTTTACATTCAATTTTGTGTAAAAAAGGGAGTCCCTCGAAATGATAATTGAGAAACGAATTCCATCACCGAATGGATGCGAGACTAATTAGGGCGCCCTCTCTCGGCACTAATATCTTCATAACAGTTTTTAAACATGCTGATATAGTAGTAATAATCTGCAAAAACATGGGACAAGCCTTATTGCAAATACTGCATGGGTAGCACAATGGTAGAATGGCATCGTGGGAAGGAAAAAGGGGGCAATGTTTGCTTCTTTTTCCTTCCCACAAAGCCTTTCTACCGAGGTACCATTGTGTAAAATCACCCATTCAGTATTTGCGATAAGGCTAGAAAAGAGTTATACGTGTATGTATGGACATCACTTGACAACTTGCCCACAAACGCTATCATGAAACTGGGTATATTTGAGAACCCCCAGTGTTTTGTCATTTCAATCTTGTAAAACTGGTCAGTCCCCCCAAAACGTTAAAAACCTGAGGCAATGCTCTCTCACTGACCTTATTTTTTTGAAATTTCAAATTGTGAAAAAATGTGACTTTCTTAATGATAAACCAGCCATGCAAATTTGAATCCGCCATGTGTTGTGTTAAAACACTCAAAGTGCCCCACATAATTTCCCTGAAAACCCTGCCTTCTTTTCACAACATCAATCCAACAGTTATGGTGTCATAGTCATCTACTGAGGGAGAATCCAAAAGTTAATAAAATGTTCACGCAGGTTTCCCTTCCGTTGTGGGAATGGGGTCCCCAAATATTTAATTCTAATGAGACTAGCTTGACTGGGCTGAAAAATTCTAAGTACAAGTACTTTCAAGTAGGCCTACTTGTAAACAGTTGAATATTTTCTTGCTAAATTTCACATTTTAGCTATTTAGGGCATGTTTAATTTCACTCTCAGATTGCTGATAAACTGTAGCAAAGATATGTCATATGTAAAATGTTTGTAAAAAGCATAAGTGCCAGAACTCGTTTGTGTGCGTCAACCAACACTGTGCAAACTCCATTCCTTTGCACTACACATCGTGGCTCGAGTGATGTCATGGTCACACTTCAATATACCGCTGGAGGAAAATATTATGTCGGCTCAGTGTGAAGAGGTCATTACAGCAAAAATAGAATTTTTGAAATTACATGTATCTTTCCATGAAATGTATGCGTAGGCCTACTTTTCATTGCTGTACTTTCAGCTCTCTTGAATCAGGTGATCCTGAGGTTAAAATTGATGGTACTGAGGGTCAGGTGACAGGTGACACCATAGATGGAGCTGTCTCAGGGAGTAAGCCAGAGACCCCAAGCCGCCGATCCTTCCGACCGCTCAACATTGAGGATTTCTTTGGGAGAGTGGAGACCTTTACAATATCCTTGACATGCAGCACCATATATTCTGTTATGTCCCGACCATAGTCTTTATCCCAACATGCCCAAGTGTAGACTTTAGTGTAGTTGGGATGGTCGCAACAACAGTCAGCATGTTTCTATAGAAAATTTCTAAACCTTTTTCAAGTTTATAATGTGGCTCACACCTGACAAAATTCAGCCAAAATATGCCAAGCAGGCATTTTATCCACTACACAAATAAAATTAAATCCTTCTTGCAAATACAAATTGGCAATATAAACAAAATGACATTGGCATTTGCTATAACATACTGGCATTCTGTAACTGGGACCGTCCTAACTATACACGCAGTTGAGATGATCCCAACTATTGTTGGGACTTAGTGACACCATAGTTGCGGCATAACATGTCCAGTACATTAGGTATATTCATTCTGTCATACCTTTGTGTCTGCAGATATTACCTCTAAGTCTATGGGGTTTGTCATGCCCATTGCACTCCCACAAACTGCAGACGTTACAGACTGAACCAGTCTCCAGGGAATGCAGGCTTTTTATATTGATTATCTTATGTTTCAGAAATCCCTGCTCCTTTTTGAACATTGTGTTTCTGAAATGTGTTCTTGATGAGAAGAAGTCATGTTCCTACCATTGTTAGTTTGGAAGAACTACTTGTACCTGTATTCCCGAATTAATGAACATATGGACAAGCAATGGGGAACATGAGGCCAGAATTGTTAATGCAACATTTCAAGTGATAACAGTGAGAAGATATGCCCTTAGTATTCTGATGTCTGTGCTTCTCTAATACCTACATATATGTAAATACATTTTCACCTCAGTGTAAACCAAACAGAGCAGCAGTAGACTTATGAAAATAAGAAATATCAAGGCAGTGAAATGGTTAATTTTCAGAGCAAAGTTACATGTAATACAAATGTGTTTTCTGACTTAATTAATCACAAATAATTAAATGACAAATCACCAGACATGTGTGGGTGTGAATGTGATTTTTCCCCAGATTGTAATTGGGTTATTCCATGAGGTTGGAGCCTAATTTGTGACGTTGTCAATTGTTACATGGGTTCCATAAAAATGAATAGCTATTTCCTTGCGTGTGGATTCTAAATTGACGTTGTTATAGATCTTGCAAGGTTGAATACAGAGGAGTGTGTTATTTTACAGAGTAAATTACCTACTTTACAGGTCATGACAGGTGGTAAAAGTTACTGATGTAACAAGGACACCGTCACAAATTGTGCCCCAACCTCATGGAATGACCCAATTCCATTTCGATCACATTGGTACATTAGTATAATCACAAAGATTTAAGCCCAAACTTTCCTTAACTCTGTTATCATGCATTTGGTTGGTTTGCCAAGCCCTCTGATCTATCCCCTCTACACTGTGCCCGTCATGGCTGGGAGAACATTAATGCAGATTGCCTGAAATGTGTCAGCTGCAGGGAGATTCTATGTGGTGGGCTTCCAGTCATGTGGGAAACAGACTCATGTAAGAACCAGAAACAAGGCTACTACATATGCATTTGTACCAGCACAGAACTGTCATCAGTACAAACATAACCTTTGGATTCTCTTATTCTTCAGGATGCATGCACAGAGTTCAAAACAAAACATTTACATTTATTGATATTTATTGTGCTAATGCCCTGTTTATTCATTAATTACTTTTTTAAGTTCCTGTCGTGCCAAAACTTGATATATGAAACTTTCAGATGCTCAAGCTTACGGAAAGTTGAAGGATTCCTTGAAGATAGCTCACAGCAAGATATGCCCCTGGCCTGACAGCCCATCACCAGGTTGGTGCAAACTTGCTCAGAGTTGGTTGAAAAGTCCTTAAAAGGAAACAAAAAACAGTCACATCAGAGGTATAATATTTGAAGATGTACTTTAAGTATAATTAGCAATTGTTAATTGTGATGTGTTTCTTTTTACCAAGAGAATTTGGTCAGTGCAATGTATTGGATACTCAGTACTGTCCTTGAGCTTTAAATTTGGAAAAAATCCAGAAACTAGTTATTAAAGTTTAGTCTTTCTCTGGTGCAAAAATCCATCCAAAGTAAAATCTGTTCTTAATTTGGTCAGAGTCATTTCTCCACATTCCACTGGGTGATGTGAAATCAGCTGTTGAAAGCTTCTACTCCCGATTAGACACCATGCACTTGTTAGGCGTCAGTTTGCCCAGCATTGACTGCAGTATTATCAAGGAGGAGGTAGCATGCTTTTTTTAATGATCAGCTTCATCCATAACATTGGGTTCATCTCTGGTCCTCAAACCATTTGCAGGCCTTCTATGTTCAGAATGAATGAAGAGACTCCCATTTTTGACTTAATGCCTTAAAAGCTGAGGTTCTTGTTGTAAAACTGACTCATACTGAGCCAGAATTTCTAAAGGTTTGGACTCGAAATCAAGGATTACTTAAGAGAAACAGAACAAAGTCAAGGTCCTGGAATTGACGTTTTATGTTGTGAGGCTCAATTTTTGTTACTTTCTGAATATATACTTCTAACTTGGTCTCACACGTTACAAGATGTTGATTTTTTTTTATGAAACTTGTGGTAGAACCCATTAATCAATGATTGTTATATGTGTCACATTTAGCTTTTTTGACAAGTTCTATTTGTAAATTTTGTGTAAGGAGCAGTTTGTTATCGATGAGGTTGAGCCAGCACTGTTGAAGTTGATTGCAGAGAGGGAAGATTCCGCGATCATTGTTAGTGAAGAGGAGAAACCCATCTGGCTCACTGTCTGTCTCCTTGCTGTGTTTGGCTGGCTAAAAAGGTGAACATCAATTTCTTATAACCTTCTATATTGAGGTAAAACTTGTTTGCTGAGATACCGTTCAAGTTTCTTTTCCATTTCAAATCCTTTTCAGTGCAATTATTTAGAAACAGCTACAACTTATTATTTCTTCTTCCTGCAGTCATACAGAACAGACTGGTTGCCCTGTATTGGTTTGCCAGTACTGTAGACGTCATGCTGGTCTATGGAATTTCATTTCCTTGAAAGAGGCTGAGGCCAAACCAGCAATTATTAATGAAGCAAGTAGCACAGACACAGAAAGACAGGAATCACCAACTGATAGAATCAAAGTAAGTTGATCCAACTTTATACCATGATTTTTAGACACAACTTCATATTCCAAAATAAAATTGGATGATGGATTTCAGTTTTTCTAAGGCTGATTCTAGCCATCTTATTTCAGATTTTGTCTGTCATTATGAAGCTAACGTGATGTTGATGTTGGCTGAAACGTATATAATTAAACTTGCACCAAAATAAACGAAATTTTATAATTAGTAGAGGTGTATCCTGGATAAAAGTGTGTAATTAAAAGGATAACCGCTCACATATTTTATAAAAACTGACAAGTTTGAAATAACAATGGGCAATTTTAAGAAGGTAGTGCCTCATATTTTATTGAGCAAGCAAGAAATATTTGTACAAGTAGCTAGTGTTTGAAATGGTCACTTTCAAATTGATTTTTATGGCACATTTTTGGTTGTTAATGATTGTAGTAGCTTCTTTGTCACATCAAGTTTCGTTACATGTCGTTAGGTATATGTTAAACTCCTTGTATCCTCGACATTCTTTTCAATTATTGTTTCACAGGATATTGAGAAGTCAGCTTTCAACCCTGCTACAGAACATCGGTCGTGGTGCCCTTGGATTCAGCCATCGGCTTTCCAGCCACTCAGACTGCAGAGAACTTCAAACGAGCTAACTCAATCTGACGACAAACCTATAGCTAAGCTGAGCTGGCAACAGCTCCTTATCATTCTACTGAAGAGGACTGACCCGCAAACCTATGGAGCTCTGGCCCCTGTTATCAACAAGGAAACTGTGAGTCTCAAACTCAGGGATGAGATTGACCAATGATAAAAATAGCTGAGAAAAGACATAAAGAAGCTGAACTGTGAAAATCTCCTATACTTTTGTACACAGCCAGTGGGAAAAAAAGCTGGAATCCAACACAAAAAAGCTGAAATCAGCTGAAAAGCTGAGAAATCTCACCCCTGCAAACTAAGGAACATAAATGTCACAAGTAGAGGCCAAATGTGACAGTATACTGTCATTGTCAATATCTTGAAGTTTAAATCAGCATTAATGAGCAGACCATACATTGCACTTGAAATTCCTTGGAGAAGCCCATATGGAAGACGGGTTGTGGATTGTCATTTCTTCCAAGTGTTTGTCAAGAAATTATTATTCATATTGGCTAAAGTTTCTTCTTTCAGTTTGTTTTTGGTCAGATTTGTTCCTGGGTTATTTTCCCTGTCCTCTAAGATGATTTGCAAGTACAAAGTATGCAAAGACAATGTCTGTTTCTTTATTCTATTAGACCCCGCCTAGTCAGACTTGGAAGGCAGTAAGAAGAATCTTGAACATCTGGCAAAGCAAGGAGACAGCACCTCCTCCTAATGCAACCACAGATCCTCCCAAGGACTCCAGCTAGTCCACTAGACAGTATACTGAAGAACGTCTTTTAAACATCATTTTATGTGCTGTGTATATTCCCTTTTCCTCTAAAGTATTTAAACCAGTAATTCCTAATGAGCGTTAAGTTTTAAGAAACAGGAAAAAACCTTGCAAATATGTGCCACCTGAGAACATTATTTCCTGGTGGGAGTTGCCCCAATTTGTACTTTCTTCTTTCTTTATTTATTAAGCAAATGTCTCAAAAGTTGGAGTTTCCTTTTCTTTTTAAACATTTGTACTTTGCAAATACAATTTTTTAAAATATTTTCAAACTAGATAGGCCGTTGTGCCTCCTCACTCGGACCACAGACTACATCTGAATGAAAGATCTTACATTAAAACCTTTGAAGATCTTATTCATGTATCGCCCAGCTGTGAGCTGCCCTGTGTCAATGTGCATAAAGCATAGAGTCAAATACATATCTGAGGAATTTTTGTTTTGTTGATAGTTTTAGCCATTGAGAACTCTGACACTGTGGTGCACCCTTATGGTCCTGTTTGCTGTGTTAAACAAGCAAGACGGTGGGGATGAAGTTAAACCAGAAGCTCGTAAAATGCACCTCAAGATGTACTCTTGCACACTCTGTACAGGGTAGTTGAGCAGACCTGCCAACCTTGCTGTACTCCTTCCTGAGGTTAGGCATTACCACGCAATAGATTAAAAGGTGCTTGAGTGAGCATTCAGTTTATTAAATGTTTAATCTGTTATGTGGTAATGCCTGACCTCAGGAAGGAGTACTGCAAGGTTGGCAGGTCTGGTTGAGACCTACTGTTCCCCGACCCAACAATAAAGAAAATAAAAAATCAAGTAAATTGTGTACAGTGGACTTGAGTGAAATCAGTGGCAACTGTGTATTTTTGTATTCTTAATTGTTAGTATTGATCAAAATGTCAAACTTAAATGTGCATAAAAAGGAACAATTTTGGTAAATGTACTCGTTCAGTTGGTTGAGATCATGTTAATTTTTAATGCAATTTATGGGGGGGTGGCATGTCATAAAAGCACACGTAGTATGTCTCAGATTGCAAAGCTGAATTTTTGAATTTAAGGTCAGTAAAAGTTGCCTTGGAGACTGGTGGAAACTGGCAAGCATGTAACCACAGAAGGTAATTTCACTAAACTGTAAAGACTTACCTTGGTGACAATTAGAACACACTGAGGTGATCTGGCAATTGGCCAAGTGACATTTGAGACAAAATCTTTTTTCTGTTTTGTTTTCTTAGACAAATTGTGATTTTTAAAAGATTAATTTCCTTATTTCTCACTGTTTTGTAATGCAATTTTTGTTAAATCAAAATTAAAAATTTTCATAACCATGTACACACAATGTTGAAAGTCTTGCAGTAGCTAGTGACATCTGTACATGATTTTGATTTGTTTGACAATAAAATATCAACCAATCATGGTCATGGTTCGGACGTGACCATGGTTTATATATTGTATTCATGGTTTATAGCCATGCTGAAATGTTGTTTATTTCTAACTGTTTATTACAAAGTGAGATAATTTTGAATTCAAAATTTCATTTAATTGTAAACTGCAGATCTGTTTATTGTGAAGTGTGACCAAACTTAATCATTCAGTGAAGTAAAGGTTAAGTCTTAAAAGGTATACGTTTGGAAATACTCGTAGGACGCTTCAGTTATGTTACTCATTTCCTGTTTTTAAATCTAAAATTCCACTACTTGTACTTCTCTCAGTGTTTGTTTTGAAGAATGCAATGTAACACACAGCCAAACAAAAATCAAAAAAGCCAAAATATCGTGAAGAGAAACAAATTTTCCAATTTACCTACAACCGATTACGTAATTTGTTTATGTGTAGTCAGCTGGTGACCTGGATTTCAATTTTTATTGAGAAAAGGTCGTGCAGTTTCAACGACCTTGAAGAATGACGTCAATATCACGTGGTCAACTTCCGAAAATGGCTGTAAAGGGGTTTAGGTTTATGGTGCATGGAACAAACAACAATTTTTCTGTTGCAGAATCTGACAATGGAAAATTCGACACAAGAGAGATATTTTCTAGGGTTCAAAACATTCATTTTTTTAGCCAAATAAAGAAAAAATGTCCCCACTGTGGGAACAAAAGCGTGGAAGAAATGCCTACAAGAGAGTACAATTCACCTAAAGTAAATGGTATCGTCCTGCATAGTTATTGTTTTGGTTCGGTTCGGCTAACTTCGGTTTGTGATGTGTATGTTTCGCGCAAGATCGTTGGGTGTACCTTTTCTGCACAGGAACAGCTGTTTTTCGGTGTAAAAATTCACCTGATTTTAGCCCTGCAAAATGTCGTCACCGCCGCCTAATAAACGACGGATGGACACGGACGTAGTGAAGCTGTATCCTTTTGGTTTTGGGCACTTCATTTTGTGCATTTTGGGAGAAAAATGTCTGGAGTCGAAGGGATAATTTTGGACTTCTCGGTCTCGGTCTGTAAAGATATCCGTATTGTTCGGAACTGCTGACGTCTACGACTAGTGGGGGTTAGCCAAAATATTTCCCCCAAATTCTAATACACCAGCCTTTTTTTGTATATATATTTTTTCTTTATTTTTCTCCCAACGCAATAATCTGTTAACCATGAAAACAAAAGCGTCATTCGTTTCATTTCAATGTACAAATTCGAGTAACTAAACTAGGAATCTTCGAATCGCCTGTTCAGCATTAAGACCTGCTGTCCCCAACCATGTCCAAATGTTGAAAAAGGTGATTCTAAATATCCGAAATTACTCGGACTAAGAGTCTATATGGTGTAGCTAGCTGCCATGTTCTGTTTTCCCCCCATATTTTCCCCACATTACACATTTATTGTCAGTAAGATTAATTACCACTGAAGCATGACAGTACATGTAAGGACACTCCTCCCAAAATAGTGTAGCCAACTGAATACATAATCTGTAAATTCATGACTTTCTTACCCTGTTTTCTGGTTTGTTAGTGACTGTGGCATACAAGCACGTGTTCTGCTGATTTTAAGTGCCCTTTGACAAATACGCCAACTTTGCACAACTTTTGGTAACAACACATCTTCTGGGATTACTACACTAAGTAATTGGGTGTGGTAAATGTTACAAGAATGTTACATTTAGAAACTGGATGATAAAATAGTTGTAATGACTGTTTAAAACATTGCATTTACAAATTCTTTCCCCAAGAGTTTGTAAAAGATGATGTGAATTCCAACATCCCATTGGCAAGCAAGGATGTAGCCCATGATAGTTGCATTAGTCACGTAAGACCACTAAAGTGGTCTGACATGCACATGACTTCTATGATGTGAATAGACTGAACAGCGCCTACCAGTAACCTGTGAAAGAAGAAATAATAAACATCTTAAAAAATCTCTGCAACAGCGAAGGATTTCAAAGTTGTAATGGATCATAACAGGCTAAGGATGTAACCATGAAAGTAATACGTGAAGGCAAGAATGTAGTGCCATTTGTACTTCATCAATTGGCTTCCAAGTGACATGCAAAATACTGCTTAAAACTGAGTACATGACTGAAGTGGTGGTGGGGGAGACATTACCATGTGACTAGTTTTAATTAGCTTTGAATACTGTTGGTCAAAGAATACTTGGGTTCTTGGATGGACCTAAGTTTAATTGGACCACATCACGCTTTGAATAGATCCTCAAGAAATACTTCTCAGACGATCAGCACCATTGTACTTAAGGTGAAAAAGAGTATGTACATGTCATTATTGCCTTGTGAAGGAGGCTTGTATTTCTTCAGATTTCTGTTTAAAATCTGGATCATTTCCGCTCAAGCTAGAGCAGTACATTAACATTTTTCTTTTGTCTTTCCCACATGTCTTGTATTTGGACATTGATACATTCAAGAAGAGAAATATTTACACAATCTCTCACAGACATAAATTTAATATGTAACACACGCGCTGCACGTTACATTATACATGTAATCAATCTTTGTGCATAGGAAATGTGGTAGTTGTATTATAATGCCTTAATTATGTACAATTTATGCTGCCGACCTGCAGTATAAATGTACAGTATTTACATGGTACATGTACCTGTACCCTTATATTGTGAACATTCAAGATTGACATCAGTGAGTATGGTCATTATGCCTCTCCCTTGCTTTTGAATCAACGTATGGGTTGGTCTATAAACATGGGGTCCAATTTTTTGTGCGTGTCCCTGCCACATCTGACGTGATTTTGTAAAAACACAAAATGATCTTGCAACATGTACATGTACACTTCAGTGATTCCTTATCCCCAATCTTGCTATACATGTAGGCCTATGTAATATTGTTCCGTGAGATTTATTCTAAACTTGAGGATTGTGGCTGCAGGTGTACATGTACATGTATGCAAAAACATGTAGATTGAAGCACCATACCACTAGGTACATGTACATGTCACTCCACCAATGCACAACCTGCATGAATGCCAATTTGACAAATTTGAATTTGTCAAATGAGGGCCATTTATTTTCTGGATAGATTTCTTCCTGTGTGCAGTTGGATCTCCATCCTCATGAGTGATTGTGGTTTGTGCTTGTTAGGTTGCCTTATTATTCATGTAACTGTGGGGATTCCCTGTTTTGTCTTAAAATAATTTCAATAGATTGGTAGGAATTGTGTTTGTCACATAGAGTGGCAACTCACAGTGCCGTAAAGACCCATGTTACTAAAATTGTCAACGATTTTGTCCAAACTCACTGGGGTGGAGTGGCTCATCTTCTGGGGTCTTTTGTACTAATTGTAATAAATGACTACCAACTGATGATGGTGCTTTCTTCTCGTGCAATGATAACAACCCAGGATGTAACTAAGACATGAATCTTGATTTATTACACTTTGTGATTAATAACACAGGGTGGAATATTTCTGACTTAACGTTACTCTTATATATACATCTGAGGATGAGATAAACTGGGAAGGAGTAAAGCCGCTGGCATAAATTCAACAATAAAGGAAGTGCCCTTTATCAATATATTTTACATACATACACGTAGCCTCCCTGCAGCACGTGACAAGAGGATAAACATGAACATGAACATTACATGATTTCCTAGATTCCAAAAAAATTGTTTGAATGCCACAGTTATAGAAAACAGAGTAAAACAGTCTGCATTACAATCCCTTGTATTTATTAGCTTCTGTTAAAATGTAATTACATGTAGTAAATAAATCTTTTGAAAAATCCACCAGTTGGCCTTACTTTTTGTGTCACCTTAACATGGTCAGATAAATGTAGGTTTGCCATATATTTACCTGTTTACAAGCCAAAGGTTATGGGCATTGTTACACTAGTTACAGTGTAACATTGTTATTTTCAGCCTGCATTGACATGCAAGATTCAGTGTCCATTGTATGGTTGTACATAACCGTGTGCACCTGAATATGCTGAATCTGTGTAAAAGTAGCTTGCGTGGTTATTATCCGGAGTCCAAAAGTGTACACGTGTACATGTAGTGGTTTAGAACTTTGGATTATGCTAATTAGATGCTACGTTAAATTAATTTGAATGCATATTGGGCTTTTCATTAATAATCCTAACACCTTAAGGCTTAATAACTGCCCAAAAATAGTGTTTAGATAGGGACTGTATTCGTTCAAATATCAAGGTACATTATTCAAGAAAGATGTTTACTAAAGTTAAGATGGCTGTCCTGACCACATGCATACATGTAGGTACATGTACACGTAGTAAGGTTGGTCCCCTTATCACAAGTCCCACTGAATGGTGTCCATTCTTTGACCCTTTTCAAAACTACCTTGTCATCTTGATTCATATTTGGTGGTTAATCTGTTTCCAGGAATCTTTTGGCCTTTTTTTGTAACTGTGGCTTCCAGAGGAATAATACGAGTGTAAATATTTTTCATTCTGGTACATTTTAATCTATTTTTTAAAACCATTTTACAAATGCCGTGATGACTCATTGCTTAAGCAGTAGAACAAATGGCAAAATAATTGGATGTGGATATGAGTAATTCTGTGTCTGTTGTCTTTTGCAATCTAAGGGGAAAATACAAATGTGCTTGTCCCCAAGGCATGGAGGGTAGTTATGGTTATACATGCTCCTCCTGGGAATCAAGAAGAGCTAAATCTTAAAAAGTAATAATCACAAAGCAGTCTTGTAGTTTGTTGTTTGTTAAGTCTATGATATCGTCATTCTAGAACTAAAATGTGCCAGCATGTACTGCAGCTTCGTATCATACAGACTCTGTCCTAATATAAAACAAAACAGAGGCAAAAATTTCCACTTTCACAGGAGTTTTTTTTGTACCGTACTTAACAATGTAATGTACAATATACTTCTTCCCTTTATGTGGCCATTATGCTTGGTAAGGTGTATGTGTGTGTGATTATGGATGTGAAATCTTCACTGAACATTGTTTGTAAAATGTTACAAAATAAGGTTTTTATTTTGTGCTGAATGAAGGCAAATGTACTTCTTTTGATATCAGTTAAGTATTCCAACAGGGCATGCCCAGTGCCGGGCTACTTAAGTAACAGCTACACGCACGCGGGATAGTCTGTCCTATCAGCATGGCCATATATTGGCTCATGCCCACTACGCTTTGTTCCTGAAAGACATTGGCTCTTTGAAATACTGAACTGACTCATTACATGTATGTATAAAAATTTGACCAAGAGGAATTTGTGATCTTGCACTGGTTGATGATATTAGATGGTCACTTTTTTTTTACATGATTAGGCCTTGTTTTTATTTAGTGGTCCAACTTTTAACCCTTCTTCTGTTTCAAATGTCACATTCCTTCAAAGTATCTATTACTTGATGTGCATGATGCAATGTAGATGTGAACCCTAAAACATGCTGTGTCTATGACTTTGTGTCAATATGATTTGTATGTAATCATAAACGTCCTCCTTTGCCAAGTTCAGTCAACACTTTTACTTTCATTGCAGATTTACCACTTGCACAGACGTTCATTTTTCTGGACAGTTTTCTCTCTTGAGTGTGCAGGACGTGTATGTGTTATACCACTTCCTGCTGATGTTGACAATCAGTTCAACATTTAATTTTTATGACGTAGGAGGGGTTTCACTTGGCATTGCATGTATACATGTACTTGTATGCGCCACCAAGCATTTAGCATGACCTGACCTCTGTTTAGTGTCATAAATATTGTCCTTCATGTAATCATCCTCCTTCATATTTATGTGTGGAATACCCAACACAATCATTACAATGCTCGTTGAAGCACTGTTCAGTAATTACTGTAAATAAAAAACGGTGCACATGTTCAGGAGGGGTGAGGCTGCATTGGTCTTGTAATTCAGTGCAAAATGAAAAGTGCTCCACAGTGTCATCAACTTGACTTCATCCATTTGTGGTCATTAGTAA